ATAAGCCATTCTGACAAGTGTGAGGTGATAACCTCATTGTGGTTTTAATTTGCATTTCTCTGATTAGCAGTACTGAGAGTCTCTTCATGTACCTGTGGCTATCTCTGTGTCTTTGGGAAAATGTTCAGGTTTTCTGCCCATTTTTAAATTGGGGTTTGGTTTTTGATATTGAGTTGTATGAGCTATTTATATACTTTGGATATTAACCCCTTATCAGTCATCTCATTAGCAGATGTTTTCTAATTTTAAAGGTTGTCTTTTTGTGATGGTTTTCTTTGCTGTGTAGAACTTTTAAGTCTAACGAGGTCTCATTTGTTTCATTTCACTTTCATTTGTTTTTGCTTTTATTTCCTTTGCTTTAGGAGATAGATCCAAAAAGGTATTGGTATGATTGTTTCAAAAAGTGTTATGCCTGTATGTCCTTCTAGGAGTTTTATCTTACATTGGTCTTATTTTGGTCTTACATTGAGACCTATAATCCATTTTGAGTTTATTTTTGTATATGGTGTGGGAAAATGTTCTAGTTTCATTTATTAATATGTAACTGTCCAGTTTTCCCAGCACCACTTATTGAAGAGACAGTCTTTTCTCTATTGTATTTTTTGTCTTGTCATAGATTAATTGCAATCTGTATATATACATGATTGTTTTAAGTTGCTGATCTCTCACTTTCAAGTCCTTTTTAACAGCCCTGCATTTGTACTCTCCTCCCCTCACAATTATTGCTTTTGATGTTATATTTTATATCTAATTATTTTGTGGATCCCTTAACTGGGCTTTCCTAGTGGCTAAGTGGTAAAGAATCTGCTTGCCAGTGCAGGAGATACAGGTTCGACCCCTGGGTTAGGAAGATTCTCTGGAGAAGGAAATAGCAACCCAGTCCAATATTCTTACCTGGGAAATCCCATGGACAGAGGAGCCTGGTAGGCTACAGTCCATGGCGTTGCAAAAGAGTTGGAGACGACTCGGCATCTAAATGACAGTTCCTTATTGTGAATATTCATGATTTTGCTACTTTTGTCTTCTAACCTTATTAGCTTTGTGTGTGGATGATTTCCTACCTTTTCTGTATGGTTGCCTGTACCAATGAACTTTTTCATTTCATAATTTTCATGTTTCTACTTATAGCCTTTTTTTTTTTTTAATTCAGAGAAGTTCCTTTAACATTTGTTGTAAAACTGGTCTGGTGGTGCTGAACTCTTAGTTTTTGCTTGTCTGTAAGGCTTTTGATCTCTCCATCAAATCTGAATGAGAGTCTTTCTGGCTAGAGTATTCCTGGTCATAGGTTTTTCCCTTTTAACAGTTTAAATATAGCCTGTCACTCCCTTCTGGCCTGCAGTTTCTCCTGAGAAGTCAGCACATTGCCTTGAGGGAATTCCCTTGTTTCTTCTCCCTCATTGCTTTTAGTAACAAGAGCAGTTTTTAATTTTTACCCTTAGAACTAGAGTTGTCTTGTAGGACTTCCTGCACTTCCTGGACTTGGATATCTGTTCCTTTCCCAGGTGAGGGAAGTTTTCAGTTATTATGTCCTAAAATATGTTATCAGCTCCTTTCTCTCTCTCTTCTGGCACCTGTACAATGGGAAATGTATTAGTGCACATGATACTGTCCTAGAAATCTATTAAAGTGTTGTCATTTCTTATCATTTTTAAAAATTCATTCAGTGTCACTGATTTCTGCTACTCTCTTCTAGCTGGCTGATCCATTCCTCTATATCCTTTAGTCTACTTTAATTCCTTTTAGTGTATTTTTCATTTCAGTTATTCTTCATTTGTTTTGCTCTTTATTTTCTCTTTGTTAAAAACTTCTAGCTTCTCATTCTGTGCAGCCATTGTTCTCTCAAGTTCTTCGATCATCTTATACAATCACTACCCTGACCTCCTCCTGTGGTTTTACCTTGTTGCTCTGTTTGGAACATGTTCTTCTGTCACCACATTTTGCCTAAGTTGCTGTTTTTATTTTTATGTGTCTGGTACATTGATTATGTTTCCCTACTGGAGAAATGGCTTTTTGTTGGAAATGCCCTGTGCCTCCCAGCAGTATGTCCCCCACTGGTCCCCTCAGCTGTATGCTCTAGCGGTTGCCCCTGTGAGGACTGCATGGGGCCTTTGGTTGTGGTGGGCTATTTGCTCCACTTGGTTGGCCCCTGGTCCAGTTGGTTGCCAGGCCCTGCCTTGTGCTGAGGCTGCCAGCTGCTGGTTGGCTGGCCACAGGGTGGCTGACTGCGTAACCTCAGAGACCCCCGGGGCTAGTGCTGGCTCAGTGGCGGGTGGAGTCAGACTGAAGGCTGCACAGCTGTTTCCTGCAGGTTGGTGGGGGAAACCAGATCCTGGCTTAGTGCTGTCTTACACAACGGGCAGAGCAGGTCTTGGAGTCTGGTTGCAGAGCCCAGGGCTCCTGGAGCTGGTGTCTGACTGCTGGGTGTGGACGGTTCCTGGCACAGATGGGTGCAGGGTCTGGGGTGCCCTGAAGCTTGTGTTGGCCTGCTACTGGGCAGGGTCCAGCTGTCCCAGTGAGGGGTCTGGCCTACTGATCCATATGTTGTAGGACTAGTTTTCTTGTGTCTGATGTCTGCCCCCTGGTGGGAGAAACTGGTCCAGCGGCTAGAGCAGGCTCCCTTGAGGTCAGGGCCAGGGCCAGCGAATCTAGATCTTGGAACTGCTGCATGCTCACTGGTGGGTGAAGTCCAGGGGTCTTAAGGCAGCCTGTCGGTTGATGGGTGGGGCTGTGTCCCTGCTCAGTTGCTTGGCCTGAGGTGTCCCAGCACTGGTACCTACAGGCTTTGGGTAGGGCCAGGTCTTGGTGCTAATAAGCTAGAGGTTGGATTCAACAATAATGCATGCCAGCACCAAGGTCCATGTGGTAGAAGGAGTTCCTCACAATGGCTGCCACCAGGGTCTGTGTACCCGGGGTGAGCTGCAGCTGCCACCTGTCTCACCAGGAGACTCTTGAATTCAGGAAGTGGGTCTGGCCTAGGCTTCTCTCAAATTACTGCTTCTGTCCCCAGTCCCAGAATAGAGATTTTGTGTATGCCCTTTAAGAATGAAATTTCTTTCCTGCAGCCTTTTGGGACTCCTAAAAGTAATCACCACTTGCCTTCAAAGCCAGATGTTCTGAGGGCTCATCTCCCCAGTGCAGGACCCTCAGGCCAGGGAGCTCACTCCTTTGGGAGAACCTCTGCAATGTAATTATTCTCCAGTTTGTGGGTCACCCACCTTGGGGTATGGGACTTGACTATATTGCAAGTCTGCACCTCCTACCATCTCGCTGTGGTTCCTTCTTGATGTCTTTAGTTATAGAAGATCTTTTTTGGTAGGTTCCTATCTTTTCAATCAACTGTTCAGCAGATGGTTGTGGTTTTGGTGTGCCTATGAGAAGAAGTGAGTTCAGAGTCTTTGTACTCTGGCATCTTGGCCATTCTCCCTTCCCTATACCTTTTCCGTGAGTAAGGAGAAATCCCTTCCTAAGCACCTTGTAATAAGATACACAGCAGGATCTCATCATGATGCAAACTGGCCAAGGCATGCTGCTCTGTGACTTGAGTTGGGGACGCGGTAGTGAGGCCTCTGTAAGCTGGGTTTCTTTTACAGGTGGCGTGAACCAGACTCCTTCCAGAGGAGCAGGCTTCTGGTGCCCAGGGCACTGCCCCCGTCAGCACAGTATTAACTGTAGTCCCCGTACTGTACACTGGGGCTGCCCTGGTGGCTCAGCAGTAAAGAATCTGCCTGCAGTGCTGGAGACCCAGGTTCCATCCCTGGGTTGGGGAGATCCCCTGGAGGAGGGAGTGGCTACCCACTCCAGTATTCTTTCCTGGAGAATTCCATGGGCAGAGGAGCCTGGTGGGCTACAGTCTGTGGGGTGGCAAAGAGTCAGACATGACTAAGCAACTAACACTTTTAGTTACTGTACGTTAAATCCCCTGATTTATTTACTGTATAACAGGAAGTTTGTACTTCTATCTTCCCTCATTTGTTCTGCTGAGGACCTTTTTTTTTGTAAATGAGATGTTATGTATTTATTATATAAATACTTACATAGTTTTTTTTTGTCTGTGCCATGTAGCTTGCCGGATCTCTGTTCCCTGATCAGGGGTTAAACCCAGGCCGCCACAGCAGTAAAAGTCCAGAATCTTAACTGTTAGGCCACCAGGGAAATCCCTAATTGAAATATTATTAATGTTTACAAATAGAGAAGTTCACAATCTCTGCAGTGATAAAACAGTAGGTTCTAAAACAATCTGAAGTTGAGAGGATAATTAAATGTGTAACTTTCACTCTGACAGAAGTTCTTGGTGATAACTAACCATGAGTTTTTAGGAGAAATTCCATCAAAAAAGGGAAATCCATTTTGTTTATGGGGAGTTTGTGTATTATAGATTTCCAAGGCAGCAAAGTGGTATTTCCTCAATTTCAGAACTATTTTAATATAGCTTTCTATGTAATATCATAATATTATAGAGCTGATTCAAAATATTAACCATTCAAAAATGAGACAAAACGTGATTTCCCTGGTGGTCTGACGACTAAGACTCTGCACTCCCAATGGAGAGAGCCAGGATTCATTCCCTGGTCAGGGAACTGGATCCCACATGGCCTGACTAAGACCTGGGGCATCCAAATAAATAAAAATAAATATTTTTTTAAAAGAAAAAAATCAGAACATTTGTTTGACCTATAAATCTTTGATTATGGTTCCAACCAAGACTTCTAGCTCAGAGATACACCTATGCAACAGCCGGCATTTCTACAACTCTGCCCCCTATTTTTCTAAAGCAGAGGAATGAAGCATTGTGTAAAACTGCTTTTAAGTTAGCATAAATGATTCTGGGCTACAAAACTACATATTGCTATTAGTTATGAAAAAGTATTTGGTATTTCAAGCAATCAGACCAACATAGTTCTATGATTTATGTCATTTCTGATATTTTTATCCTCAAGGTACTAAACTTTTAGCTTTTAGTCTAACAGCAATAAAAACATTTTACCTTTAATATTTTCTAGGTGCCCAAGGTCCTAATGAAATGCAGTCTAAAAAATCCTCAACCCTACCATGTTCTAGCTCACAAGAAGAAGAAGTATTGAATCCTCCCTCTAGTTTTCTGTCCAAGAGTAGGACATCCTTTGTTGAAGACAGTGAGTAGTAACACTGAGTTCTTGAGACTGTGGCTGGGAGCTGGAGATCGTAGATCGTGAGCAGTTGCTATTAGCCTTTTTACTTTTGTTGCTCTACAGTAAATGCGATTCTTTTTGGTTTTACATGACCTCATTTGTAAATGTTTACTATTAATTATGAACTTGGATGTCTTAAGATGGTCTTTGGTCATATGTTTTGCATCCACTATTTTATTATCTAAATCCTCTCAAAGACTTTAGGACAGTAAGAGTCTCTGATACATTAGTTTATCAGTTGGTGGTCTTTGAATTATATTAACTTGAAAAATATTCTCATTTCATATTATCTCTGGGATTTTCATACAGTTAGTATTACATAAAGTCATAGTTAATGGCTAACTTTTTATAACGAATAGATGAACCATAATTTATATAGCTATTCTTCAAACCATTTAGGTTTTTAGTAATTTTTCATTATTTTTAAATAAATTTTTAGGAAAATATAGTAAAAATTACATTCTTCCTAATTTAATTAGGTCCCTACTTGTTCATTGAGAATGAGTCCCTATTTCCATTGTCTTTTTGGTGTGCTTTTCTTAAAATCAAGTTTAAAATATATTTCTAAGTAGTGTGTGTGTACATTTGTTTGTATAGTGTATATGTGAAAGGATTTATGTCTTATCTACTTTAATTTGTCCAACTAGCAGGAATTTCTTCTGTGGATGTGATTCCAAGTGCTAGGAAGTTAGGGGAGCCCATCCGGTCAGCTGTTCCTTTGCATCCACCTTACCACCCTTCAGAGCCTCGCGCTCCCTGCCCCATAGGAAGAGAATACTTGCATTCAAGCCACTGCTCCCCTCCCATGAATTCTACCAGAGAAGGCACGGCATTTTCTGTGGTAAGTGGAAAAGTTTGCTTTCAGCTGGACCATAGTCTATAGATTTATTTAAAAGGTCTCTGCTAGAATAGTAGTCAAGAATACTGCACTAACCAGAGAGCACTGTACTTCTTAAAATTCACCTCTGCATACACCTGCACATTCTTACCCTAGGAAGATAGGGACAGGATGACTGTAAAAGGGGAAATAGGATGAATCAGCACATACTGAGTGCTTATTTTGCGTTAGGCACAGTTCTGCATACTTTACAAATATTGGATAAGTTACTTCTTACAACACAGCTCTGAAGTAGATACTATTTTTATTTCTTATGGAGAAAGTGAAATAGAGGGTTTAAGAATCTTGTCTGAGGTCAGTCACACAGCAGTTGTAGAATTAGGATTAGAATTCAGGCATTCTAGTTTCAGAATCCATATTGTATGTATCTAATTTAATAATTGAAATTATTTAACATAAAAGAAAGTATAAAAAATAAACTTTCAGCCATATTCCTGTTAATCCAGCATGAACTACTATTAACATTCTGGCCTATTCACATCTACTCTTTTCTTTGAAAATAAAAGCCTTTTTTATACAGTCATCACGTTCCTATTTTCCCAGCAACAGGTATATGCCAAGGTATATGTATATGCCAAGGGTAAATGTATTTTTAAAATGATACACTGTCATTGTTAAAAATTGAAACAATACCAAAAAAGTAAATTAGCATTAGGTGACCGTCATTCTAAACATTCTGAGCATCAGTTTAGATTGGAGGATGAACGGATAAAGAGAGAAAGGGATCATAGGTTAGTGATTACTTTGAGGGGGCTTGCAGGAGTGGTAGAAAGGCTTCTGAGTTGTTGGTAATACTCTTTCTTTACTGGGTGGCAGTTAAATGGGAATAATCATTTTGAACCTGTTCTTGAGAGGGACACTAACTTCAGTTTTTAAAAGGTTTTTTTTTAATGTGATTATAATATAGTTTTTACTTAAAGGTATTAAATTTAATTTTCCTTTAATAGAAGAAAAAGATACTGAAGTGAAATTAAAGAGATAATTAAAACATCAAATGTTTCTTAACTACAGGAAATATTTTCCATAAGATTCCCTCCAAAGTTAAGATATAATTAGCCTCCAACTAATTAAAATAAATGGAAAAAAAAACAAGATATAAATTGTTTAAAATGTTGAATTTATATTCATGTTTTAGAGGTTTTGCCTGTTTGTTTTGAATAGTTTCTGTTGACTTCTTCATATGAAAGAAGATGATTTTAATACTTTCCACTTGTGATTTGATTGTTTTTTCACTGTCCAGGTATAGCCATAATCTCTGTAAATTTTCATATTTGAGGCCACCTCACTTGCCTTTATATTTGAATGACATCCTGAGCCATGCTTTTTCTTTGAGGACAAGTTTACAGACATTGCTCTATTCCTTTGGCATTGGTGATCAGTAGAGTGTTTTGACAGATGGGGTTTTTTAAAAAGCAAAACATGAAGAATAAAGGGAGCTAGCTTTCTGTCACAGGTCCTCCCTTCCCATCACACACAATATGTTGTTTTTTATGTCTTCTCTATATCTTTTTCAAATCAACTCTCCTTTGTTTTTAATAGGAACCAGACAATAGAGTTTCCTTAACTTCCAAGTTGTCTGAAGATAGCAAACAGGAAATGTATTCAGCTCGGCACCAAGGCCCTGGGATAAGGAAACTTCCCAGAGGGAAAAGGTAATATAGTACTGCAGGCTTCAGTGTTGACAGATTGTCTGCAAAGGGATTTGAAGAGTTAAGGGTATACGCTCCAGATTTAGCTGTGAAGGCCAGTATGAAATACTTGGCAAAGCATGTATTACAGTTGTTCTGAACTAAGTAATGCACGCTTGTCTATTTAAATGTCATATCACTTTTTATTACAGATATGAAAACAGAGCTGCAGGCTCATCCTGGGGTTCACCTTTCTCCCAGAGGGCAGGAAAAAGGTTCACAGAACAAGAATTACATGCAGTATCAGAGAAACTGTCTCAGCGCCTCTCTGAACTAGATTCGGCAAGTCTTATTTTTTTCTTACCTGTATTGAAATTGCCATAGTTGGTGAACATATAAGTGATTTTCCAACTAAGGTGAGAGCTAAGCTTAATGAACTAGAAAGTTAATTTTATCTTAGTTACTGTGAAAATCTTCTGTAAGTCAAGCAGATGGGACATAGGCTGAGAAATTATCTCCTAGCCTTTTATGATATAACCAGATTTGGTACATATTCATCCAAATTTTATCAAACTCTGATTAAATAACATGATTACATTAAACCATATATATTTAGATGCATATGTATTATTTCTCTTTGTCACTAAAGACATTTTGGTATAAAATTGGATGAGCTCTGATTTTCAAAAAATAAAATACTGTAGTTTGGGGATATCATTGATTAAATATATTAAGTCCCTATGTGACTTACTCTTAAGGTTATTGAAACTGATAGTCTGTGGCACTGATAAATATCCTTTAAAAACTCTGCATAAGCGTTTGAAAACTTGTGTCTGAACCTGTGCCTAATTATCAGAGAAAGCTTTTAGAAGGTTATATCTGTCTAATCCTTGCAACTTGCATTCTGCTGAAATCAGTAACAGATGTTAAAAAGGATTTTCTTGATAGATGTTAAAAAGTGCCCTGGGTGATCGAATGAAAGAAAAGACTGGCTCTGAAGAGGAGAATATTGGAAATGAAGAGGTGGAAAGTGGAAATGATGAGACACTGTCTCAGCACAGTGATGGCATTGTGGAGTATGGACCGAAGAAGCCAAGGCCAGGTAAAGCCTGTATGCATTTCAGCACGATCTGTTTGAATTTTATCTTGTTCTTTTGTTTGGAACGTATTCTACTGTTTCTTCAGTCTCCTGCCTTTGTGTTGGTTTCTGAGCAGTGTGTAGGACAGCCGCTCTCTCAGTCCTGAAGGAGCAGTCTTGCACAGGAGAGGACTCTTCGCCTTCAGCCCATCCCTCGCTCCTGGTTGGTTCTCAGACCTGTGGTTGTCCAAGCCACTCTCTTCATTCTTATGGCTCCTGGCAGTTGAGGGTGTGCCCTAACCCTTTTTGATGTGGGTTTTTTGTCATTTCAGTCACTCAGCTACTGTCTAGATTCTTTTCAGAGGAAATTATTCCATATGTAGTATATATTAGTGTCTCTGGAGGAAATGAATTCAGGAGCCTGTATATTACCATCTTGAACTGGAACCCTCTCACTCCTGTCTTTTTACTTAAAAAAAATTGTTTTAATGTTTTAATTGAAGGATAATTGCTTTATAGTATGTTGATTTCTGCCAAACATCAACATGAACCCTCCCTCTTGGCCTTCCCTCCCGCCTCCCTCCCCGTCCCACCCCTCCAGGCTATTACAGAGCCCAGTTTAAGTTCCTGAGTCACACAGCCAATTCCCATTTCACCTGTTTTCAGCATTGTGTTACCTGTCTAAATATGCTATTTTTTTAAATTTACATAGATAATATATAATTCTGCAACTTTTTTTTTCCTGTTAACATTGTTTTAGAAATCTGTTCCTACTTCTAGTTCACTCATTATAACTACTGTGTAACCGAGTTCATTCTTCCTTGGTGACTAAGACAGTAAAGAATCTGCCTGCAATGCAGAAGAGACCTAGGTTCAATCCCTGGGTTGGGACGATCCCCTAGAGAAGGGAATAGCTACCCACTCCAGTATTCTCAGGGCTTCCCTAGAGGCTCAGAGAGTAAAGAATCTTGCCTGCAATGTGGGAGACCTGGGTTCAATCCCTGGGTTGGGAAGATCCCTTGGAGAAGAGAAAGGCCACCCACTCCAGCATTCTTGCATGGAGAATTCCACGGACAGAAGATCCTGGTGGGCTACAGTCTGTAGGGTCGCGAAGAGTTGGACATGACTGAGTGACTGACACTTTTCACTGATTTCATACAGTGTATCTCATTTATATGTGTGTATTTTTATTTAGGTGTATGTGGATTTTTTTTTTGCTTCCCGATTTCATAACTACAAATACTTCTGCAATGAACAACTTTAATATGTGCAGAAGTTTCTCTGGGATCCACACCTACTAGAATTGGTAGATCAGGGGTTTGCACTTTCTTACCATTGCCAGATTCCCCTCCAAAGTGATCACACACATTTGTACTTACATGAGCAGTGCATGACAGTTTCCAGTTTGCCACATCCTTGCAGATACTTCCTACTGCTTGTTCAAATAATTATCCCATTTTCCAGCAACTAAAATTCTACATGTTTTGCATTCATTTTTATCTACTTTAGTCATCCTTGTTTCTCTCGAAACAGTCCATTTCTCATCCAGAACTTCCTTAACTTTTCAGTTGTTTTTTTTTAACTTTAAGAATGCTTTTTCCTTGTCTTGATTATTTCCTCTCTTCCCTGAAATTTGGCCAAGGTAATCTCTAGGAACCCTCATCCTGTAATGTGCCTGTTTCCCTTAGGGTATACGTGTACATCATATACCATTTAGAAAACACATTGTAAGTTAAACTGTTATGCTTACTGGATCTTCAGTTTCTAAAGAAGAATACATTGTGGACATAGTAAAAATGTTATTAAAACACCATTTAAAATAGGTTGTGCAAGTTAGTTAACTTGAAAGATTTAAATTAAGAGAGTAAAGAGACAAAAGCTCAAGGACACTTCTCTGGAAAATTTTATTTAGAAAGTTATCAAACCTTTCAAATTTCCTTGATGTCAGAGCTGTGTTGAATTATTTGCTTTTCCTAAAAAGCACAGAGCCCCCCTCTTCACAACTAACAGATTCCTAAGTCTGTCTATAAACAATGGACATAAAAAAGTATGTGGAGGGAAGTAATTTGTTAGATCTCGCAGGCAGTGTGGAATATGGGGGCTGGATCACTAGGGAAGAACAGGACTGCTTAAAAATGCTAAATGACTTCTGTGTATAAGGTGTTGCTTTATAAGGGTAAGGGGTGTGTGTGTGTGTGCGTGCGTGCGTGCGCACGCGCATGTGTGTGTGTGTGTACATACACACACACACACTTAGGTCTCCCTTCCCAGGACCTACTTAGGTAAAAGGTTAGCAGACACACCGCTCAGATGGTTTAACTTTTTTTTTCCTCTCTCCACCACCAAGTAGTATAGGCCTTTGTGTGCAGTAGGCATTCCACATGTTGCTCCATTTTCAACCCAAAAGTGAATATAGAAATTTAGTACTTCTTTGAAACATTTTGAGTACATATTTCTGTGCATTTGTCTGTTTGCTTGGTATGATTAAACATACAAATAGAAATTAGAGGAGAGTACATTCAGTACATTCACAGTCTCTTTGGATTCAGTGAGAATCAACCATTTGGTGCCAGCTTAACATTTCTAGCTCTCAGAAGCTCAGCGGTACGTGTCTCTCTTGTGCTGCAGGACTGGCCATGCATAGAAGGGCACCCTCCAGATCTCACTCACTCTCTCCATCTCCAGTTAACAAAAGCAAACGATTCCAGGTGGAGAGAAAAAGGCAGCGAAAACCAAAAGAAACAGATGTCCGCCGATTTCAAGCAAAGGTATATCCTATCTCTTACCTGTTACTAGGCAGCAGGTATTACCATTATTTACCCTCAGCCAGATGCTACAGTGAACATGCTGTTGATTAAAGGCATAAAATGCATTTAAGATTCTTGAGCTGAGTGGATGACAAAATCATGTGACATGGCTTTTATGTCCCCCATTATAAAACTTGTACTCCTGAAACTCTAAGAAAACTAACCTTATATAACCCAGTGCTCCAGTGGATTAAGAAAGTGTATCAGTGTAGACTGGTATTTTAAGGGAGAGGTTTAGAAATAAAGAGAACTTGAGGTGGATTAAATGTGACAGACCATTTGAGTTACAGATAGGATGAAAATGCCCAAGACAGGAATGAAAGGAAGTGGTTAGGGTTCAACAGGAGAATGTATGATTACTGAGGAAGACTTTCTGCTGTGAATAGTGATTTTGAAGTGTGGCATAAACTTAGAACACTTAAGTTTATTGCTATAGTATGTTTTATCATGGTGAAAACTAACTCAGTATGTAATTCAACATGTAGCTTCCATCCAAGGATGTATCAAAATAATTATAAACTGTGGGAACAAAAAAATAACATTAGGTAAAGTTTATGTCTCAGTTAGGTATCTGTTAAATAATATGTATTTATTGATCAGTAGCCTGAAAGGAACTTTTAAAAAAAGTGATTCGAATGGCAGTCTTAGGTAGATTTTTTTTCTTCATTTTCATTTGTATGTTTTTAATAACTATAATATCACACGACCTTTTCCCCTGTAGGCAATAACCGAGGCATTTGAAAAGGAACTAAGAAGAAGTAAAGTTCAAGAGAATATTGGACCTCTAGAAATAAATGACGCGGAGGAAACAGTGGGTAAAAGTCTCTACTGTAATAAATGCCATTTGATCAGATCAGTGGAAAATACAGAGAGGATCTTTTTAAAAGGAAAAAAGAATCAACAGAACCTTAATCATTAGCCTCTTAGAAAAAAGCAGAATTTCATTTCATGGATGTGGATTTTCTTTTATTCATAGGGTGACCAAGCTGCTAAAATGTGGTACCAGAAATACTAATATTTTTTCCTGCCTGCCTGAAACTTCAGTCAGTTTTAAGGGCTTCTATTGTTTTATCAGTTCACCAAGGCTTTGAAGACAGTCTGGGCTGACAAGTTAAAGAGGGAGAGTAAGAGAAGACAGAAAATCCTAGTTCTAAGCTTGGTTGGAACAAACCCAAAGCATAAGTTTTCATTGCCTTTCAAAAGAATAGTTACAGAAGCTAAATGAAAGCAGGGAAGAAAATGCTTATGCTAAAATGTTCACAGACCAGGATATAGAATATAGTATGGTTATAACTAAACATTGTTTTAGAACGTTTGTAATCTACATGGAAAAGACTGTCAAAGAAGCAAGCACATCAGAACATGGTCATTTGTTGTATTTAGGGGGTAGGACTATGGCAACTATGAAACTTGAATAAGATTCAGTGCTTTTTCAAACTCCAAGGGCTGCCAGAAACTAAAGAGGTATTTAAGTTAAAGTAGGTAAATACTAACCAAATTTTAGAAGTCTGAAGTAAGGTAGTTTGGTTGGAAATTATTTTGACTATTTTTGCTGATATGTAATATTTAAGATGATACATGAAAGAGCTATTAGACTTCTCATTCTATTGTTTTATGTCTAAGAAAAAAATACACAGAGGAGCTGTTCATAAAGGAACTCCAAAACAAAGTCAACCCTGGAAGATTTACTCTCGAAAAACCACAACTCCAAGTCCAAGAGGTGTCTTGCCAAAGCCAAATAAAACAGTTCCAAGTAAGAACCACAAAATTGTACTTTATGGAAAACTGGCATCCTTTGAAAGTGCACGCTGCCTGCCAAGGACACAGCACTGAAAACTTAACATCTACCAGTGAGCTGGACAAAGTGCCCTCTTCTGCCGCTGCCGTATGCTAAATTTTTGTAGAGAGAGATAAAACTCTTAAATGAGCCATTTCTTTAAAACACTTAAGTATATACCAATACATTGGCACAAAGGAATGCACTGGCTATGACCTGCTGTTCCAACCTCAGCTTCTCTCTCTGTTCACTAAGTGCTGGCTGCCTTTTCTTTGTTTCTGGGAAGTTGGTAGAACCAAAGGGATGCTCCAAAGTAAGCAGAGGGCCTATCCAGCTCCTGTATATTGAGAGTTGGCACTGAGGTGCGTTTTCAGAGACCACTGACCTTCTAACTACATCCTAGTAGACACAGACTTTCCCTCCTGGGAGGGTTGGAGAGTCTGTTTGACCACACACAGAGCATCCACCCCAGGCACTGAATCAGCTGAGCAGTTAGGATGGACTTCATAAGACCAGCATTTCCTCAGTCAGAAATGTTCAGCTTATTTTCATCCTTACTAGTAGTTGGCTTGTCCCAATCAGAAAAGGAATGCAAAAGTAATAACATACTTTTAGACTTGTTCTTTTCAGGCTCAGAGCCATATCACTTAGATAAGCTTTGACTAAAGGTTGAATGAGATTTCTTCTTAAAAACTGTCAGCAAGTTTCTCAGATTAAAAAAATTTTTTTACCTTGCAGTGAAAGTGAATGAACACAGTCTCCTCCCCCTGATGCTGGAGCAGTTTCCATTTCTCTATGTTTCTGGCCAAACACTAAGCAAAATGTGGAAACAGCAAATCGCACAGGTTGAACAACTCAAAAAAGATGCATACAGAGAAAATCGATCAAAGAAGAAACTCCAGGATGAAGTAAGATAGCTGTCAATTAAGCATAGAAATATAAAGCAAAAAGATGCAGGGCTTATCCTTGATAATCTAGTGAACAGAATTATTAACCCCCTTCCCTTCCATCCCACTTAAAGATAGAAGAAGCCTTGAGAAGGCATGACCTCCTTACTGCGCTTATCAAGAAAGAATATGAACATAACAAGAGACTGGTATGTCGAGAGCAAGCTGGGTACTGTATCTTTGAATGTGTAAGTTAATTAATCACTTGTACTCGCTGAGCAGTATCCCTGCTGACTCACACCTCCAGCACTTGCCTGTGGAAGCATTTAGTCTTTAACCAACACTGATGTGAGGGTAGGTACTAGCTGCTTCATAAACACAGTTTTATTTTTTCTAATTTATTTTTTAATTGGAGGGTAATTGCTTGACAGAATTTTGCTCTTTTCTGCCAAGTATCAACATGAATTAGCTATAGGTATACGTATGTCCCCTCCGTCTTGAACCTCCCTCCCTATACAGTGTCTTTATAGTAACACATTAGAGGTGTTTTCTGTGAAATGAAAAACCTGAAGTTTTGAACTGTTAACTTGCCCTCAGTCCCGCCATAGTCAGCAAGGGCAAGTTTAGATTTTAATCCAGGTCTGTCCCTGTGAGCCCTGTCAGGTTCCAGGTGGTTAACTCAAGTGTTTATTTTGTCCTCCCCCTTCTTTCTCAGGTCCCAAATAGAAAGTTGAAGTTATTTATGTCTCCATTATAATTTGGGCTAAGAATCGTATACAGTATAATGTTATTCTCTTAAGTATCGTGAAGGGAGAGGCCAGAGATCAAAGACAGTAATAAGCCAGAGGAAGAGACTGAGGATAGAGACAAGCTGCCGCTAAGTCACGTCAGGCTCTGCGACCCCGTAGACGGCAGCCCACCAGACTCCCGTCCCTGGGAGTCTCTAGGCAAGGACACTGGAGTGGGTCGCCATTTCCTTCTCCAGTGCATGAAAGAGAAAAGTGAAAATAAAGTCGCTCAGTCGGGTCTGACTCTTCGCGACCCCATGGACTGTAGCTTGCCAGGGTCCTCTGTCCACGGGGATTTTCCAGGCAAAAATACTGGAGTAGGTCACCATTTCCTTCTCCAGTAGAGACAAGCAGCGAGAACTGAAACTCTGAACAGCTCCTGAGAAGGAAGGGGAAGCATCAGGAATTGCATGTGGGACTCTGGCAGTGGGGAGAAGAAAATGCGTGTCTGGATAGGGAGTTTGAAGGCTTTTCCTTCGCGACTTCATTTCAGCTAAGAGATCAGCAGATTTCCTTAGTTTTGCATCTTTTGTGAATGCCAGTTTACTCTTTTTAAGTGGGCATCTGGGTATTACTTAGGTGACCTCCTGGAGGAACAGGGAGATGAGATGCTTGTTTGAGAGGGGCTCAGTGGAGATGGCCACACAAATGGCATGCAGGATCCTACTTCCCCTACCAGAGGTGGAGCCCATGCCCCCTGCAGTGGGAGCACAGAATCTTAACCACTGGACTGTGGGGCACCTCTTCTGACTCTGATGATGAACCTACCAAAACGACTGGAAGGCTTCTGGGGGCCATACTTTCTGCCCAGCCAGCAGACCACGGGCCCTCCCTAGCTAGCTTGCTGCCTGAAGACATGGTGATGGGGAGCAGGGTAGATGAGAACATCGGAGTCTGTCTTCCTCTTGTTCTTACCTCTTTTTCCCTTTCCCTTAGCAAGACTTCAAGGACCGAATTCATAAGCAGAAGTTAACCCAATCAAAGATAAAAGAAAATCGGCAGCAGATTGTTCGTGCCCGAAAATATTATGATGATTATAGAGTTCAGTTGCGTTCAAAAATGATGAGAATGAGGAGCCGGGAAGAAATGGTAACTATGGCTTTTCTGTCCGATCCATTTAAAAAGATAAATTTTGTCTGTTACTTTTTTGAACCACCTTCATTGTGACTCTTGTCGTAATTTGAATGCAAGTCTGAGATGCTGGCTAGAGTCCAGGCTTGTTCACACCTCATTTTATCACCTCCGTAGTGCATCCCGGTCTATTCTCAGTCTCTACTACTTGTTTAAAATCAAAGTATAGTTGATTTGTAATTGAAATATAGTTGTGTTAATTACCGCTTTACAGCAATGACTCAGTTATACATTCTTCTCCATTATGGTTTGTCAAAGGATATTGACAAATATCCTATACAGTGGGACCTTGCTGTTTATCCATTCTGTGTATAAAAACTTACATCTGCTAACCCCAGTTTAACCACTCCATCCTCCCCCTCAACCCTCTCTTCTTTGGCAACCCCCAGTCTGTTTTCTCCGTCCGTAATTGTTTCTCTTTGGTAGATAGGTTCACTTGTCATATTTTAGATTCCACGTATAAGTGATATTATATGGTATTTGTTTGCACAGATACATGCCCAGGAACAGGATTGCTGGATCATATGGTAATTCTATTTTTAGTTTTCTGAGGAACCTCCATATTGTTTTCCATAGTGGCTTCACCAGCTTATATTCCCACCAGCAGTGTAGGAGGATTCCCTTTTCTCCACACCCTCTCCAGCATTTGTAGACTTTTAATGATGGCCATTCTGACTGGCATAAAGTGATACTTCATTGTAGTTTTGATTTGCATTTCTGTAATAATTAGTGAGGTCGAGCATCTTTTCATGTGCCTGTGGGGTCATCTGAATCTCTACTGCACTTACCTTAATGTGAAGTCTTAATTCCCTCTGACCTCCTGTGTGTCGGTATTTCTCCAGGATAACTGCTTTAGGGGGCTGGTCGCATGTTCTGAGACAGGAACTTAAGGTGTGATTACATGACCTCAGGTTCTACTCAATCAGGAAAATAATGGATAGGTATGCTGTGAAATCTTTCCACAGGATACTTGCTATTTCATCCTAATCAAGCTTGTGATTCCAAACTAGCAATAAATTTCATCTCTAGAGTAAAACATTAGGGTAATTCTACTTCATGGGACTAAATACTCTGAAGGGAGTCATACTATTATCCTCATTTCTAGAAGATACTTTAAGGCTTTGAGAGGTTTAATAACTTCACACTAAGGTAATACCACTGACTAATGAATGCATGGCTGTACTTTGGTCAAGAACTCCTACCTAATCAGTGAGGACAAGTGGGCATATCCAGATCCTTTCACCAGTTGTTTATCTGTGGCCTAGTTAGATCATAACAACGCGGCCCTCAGCTCTGCACATGCAGCCTTGACTTCTGCTTGAGGGTCATTTTCCTGTATATACGGCTGCAGCAAAGAACCTTTGGGACACAGGAAAAGATGTCATTAGTCATTGAAGGAATACAAATCAGAACAACTGACATAAACTCTCACCCATAAAGATGGCTAAAATAAAGTATTGGCAAGGATGTAGAAGTTGGAACACAGATGCAGGGCTGGTGGGGTTATAAAACGGTGCAACCACTTTGGAATACAGTCTGCAGCTCTTCAAAAGGTTAAACATGATCCAGCACTTTCACCCCTAGGTAACTATACACAGATGTTCATACTATAACCACCCTATTTATAACAGACAGAAAGAGGAAACACTACCAATGTCCATCAGTTGGTAAATTAATAAAATGTCATATCCATATAGTAGAATATTAAAGTATTATTTGCTATTATTTCCCAAAAAAACTTTGTGAAATACAGTCAGTATGCATACCTATAGTTGGGCAAAATTTTATTCCACCATGAAAATTCTGCATAACTTTTTCTGACTTAAATAATTAACAGATATTTAAGAAACTGTTTGAAGAAGGTTTACAAATTCAAAAGCAAAGGTTACAAGACCTAAGAAATTATGCCAAAGAAAAGCGAGATGAACAAAAGAGACAGCACCAGAATGAACTGGACTCAATGGAGAACTACTATAAAGACCAGGTGGGCTCACCGCTGCTAATTTACATTCGGATGTGCTTAATCTTGACCAGAGTCTATATTAAATTCGGAACTTGTCACTACACAGGTTAGACTGACTGAAATTTAAGATAAAATTAGCTAGTGCTTGACCACAGTATAGAATCGTATTGCTGATTTTCAGCCTGTGATTTTAAGATTTAAGATTTTTAGCCTGTGAACATAATTGTTATATTTGGACTACAAATATAAGGTTTGGTTTTTTTCTTCCCTGTAAACAGTTTTCATTGCTGGCAGAAGCGATATCACAGGAACGTCAAGAGCTCAAAGCCAGAGAGAAATCACAGGCCCAGGTAATAATAAGATAGAAATCATTTATTTACATTTTTAAGAAATAGAAGTGGAGAGGATACTAATAAGATCTACCAACAATTCAAAACCTATATTCTGTGATTTTAACTTTACCTGTTCAGATCTCTGTTAGAGCTGCTGCTAAATTATTAAAATTACTGCAGAAGCTTGATGATTAGGAAAGTAGAGAGGGAATAAAAATAGATGAGGGCCTGGATCTGTGTTGTGACTAGCAAGATGACATGAATTCTCTTTTAGATGTTACATAAGGTGAAGAGGGAGCTGAGATCTAAGATGGAGAAGGAAATTCAACAACTGCAGTACATGATAACACAAAACGACGACGATGCTTTTTTCCGGGAATTGGAAGCTGAGCGCTTCAAATGTCGGCTTCATTTGGCTTCCTTTCAGTACAGTAAAAATCCCTTCCTATGATGCCAGACTTCCTCAGTGTGGACTTCACCAGGGCAGAGCTAGAACTGAGCCAGTAAAACAATCTAAACCAGAAGAATCATTTCAGAATGACTTATCTATATATTGACTAGTACTTTTTATGAAATAACTTTGAAAATAAATACTGTTTTCTTCAAGTTTACTGCTTTGAATTTGACCTAAAACTTTTAAAAGAGGTGCATGAAAGCAATTAACAAGCCTCAATTGAGCAGCCAGCTCCTGAAGCCTATTGCTTTAGGTGAACAAAACAGCACTTGAGGACCAAAAAAAAAAAATCTCTAATTCAGAAAAGAGCTAAAGTGTGGGCTTGTCATTAGAGGTGGGTCTTAGGGTTAAACCCTAAAAATACGATGGCGAAGTCTGTGTAACGTGGTCACATGGAGGCTGGAAGATGAGAATCACGCGTTATGGCCTCTGTCATTTGGGAGGGTGGCAGGTGTAAGATCAGCCATCTGTGCTCAGCAGAGCACTCGTGGTTGCAGGCGGCAAGGAGTGTACCCCAGCCCTGTTTCTGGTGAGCAGAGGAGGAAGGAGGAAAACTCGCTCGGGTGATGTTCTTCCTGAATAGGAGGGCTTCTGAAAAGGCCAGGAGGTGCGTGGAGGCTTTGGAGCAGTTGAGGAAATGGGAACTTTGCTGACCAAAGCCAGAGAATGGCAGAGGGCACCAGAAAAGGATTGGAAGGGAGAAGAGAGGCTCCCATTAGGGCATATAGAGAGAAGAATATATGAACAAGGATAGAGGCCCAGGGAGGCCAGCTGGCATGATAGGGTGGGATCTGCTCGCCTTGGAGAGAAGAGTAGCAGGTGAACCCAATGCTCTGGTCCCACGTGCTGCCCTTTTGGAATGACAGCTGACAGTGGGGCCTCTAGGAAGGCAGGAGTTCCCTGGATAGCCAAATTTAGAGACATGCAGATAGCTGCAATGTATATATTGTGACAGTCAGTGCAGGTGAATGGACAGGATGCAGGAAACACACAAGAGCTAGAACATAAGTTCTAAAACTTAGAGAAAAATAACATCTAGCTAGATATACATGTTATATCCTTAAAATGAGCAAATCTTTAAGAAGCTTTGGCATGAGTGGGTATAATGCAATGTAGTCAGTACAGCCTAGAGGGTGGCCTCTATGCCTCAGTCAGTAAAACATCCACCTGCAAAGCAGGAGACTATCTGCAATGCAGGAGACATGGGTTCGATCCCTGGATCAGCAAGGTCCCCTGGAGAAGGAAATGGCAACCTGCTCCAGTATTCTTGCCTGGGGAATTCCCATGGACAGAGACGCCTAGTGGGCTATGTACAGTTCATAGGATTTCAAGAGTCAAAAACACCTTAGCAACTAAACCACCAAGGTCTAGAAGAAAAGTCCCCAGGTGTGACTCAGTGATAGATTATTACACTCACTTTGCATAATATACTATTTGAATTTGTTATAAAGGCATCATTATGCTTGTTTTAATTTTTTTTTCCTTTTAATGCTTTAGGACTCTTAAGTTAGTTCTGCTAGCTCTTTACCAAACTAAGTAACTGGGAATAACGAGAAAGAACCGATGAGGGAATTTACCAGGAGAGAGATGAGACTGCTAAGCAAAAGTCAAAGAATAGGAAGCAAAAGGTGCCAGTGCATATTTGAAAAGTAGAAAGCAAATTTATGAAGCGGTAACTTAACTCGGTGGGAGGTCTTACTAGCCAGGTACCTGTGGAGAGGGGATTATATGTGAAGCCACTTTGCCCAGAACCACCCAGGGAAAGCTTATTATGATCACACATTTGAAAAGTGACTTAGAACTATAATTTAACTATAACTGTATGGGGTGGGGGTAAGGGTGTTACAGAATGAGGTGGTTTGTGTGAGAAATAAATCTTTAAATATCCTCCTCCATTCCCACCCCACCCCACCCCACCCCCCACCAGAATCACTGTCTAAAAGTAATGAAGGGCACTATTAACCACCTCATCTGGAAATGGAGAAATACCAGAAGAGCTGACAGAAGGGTTAGGAGTAGTAGCTTCTGGAAAGTAAGACTAGGCATTGGGGGAACAGGTGATGAAGAGTCCCTCCTCTTTTAATGAGATATAATTGATATACTAGCTTAAATTTATACAGTTCACATTATCGATGATTTGATAAATCTACATACTGTGAAATGATTGCAAGTGTAGTTAAAATCTGTTACCTCAGATTTTTTTTTAAACTGGCAATGAGAATTTTTTAAAAATATGTATGTTTAGCTGTGTATATACATTACTGTATCATGTGGGACACTGGAGAATTAGCTGCCTCTCCTATAAAATGTAGAAAGGAAAAGAAAACCTATGTCTTAAGTAAGGCAAGAGAACAGAGCCTCTAGTGAAGGAACTAAGGATGTAGGGGAAATTTATTCACAATGGAAAGAGGTATCACATTGAAAACAGGGGGAGTCTGCAACAGGGGAATGAGATAGGTAGGGCAGAGAGAAGACGGTTATCATTAAGAGAAATGGCATAAACGGAAGGAATTCCAAAATTGGGGTTTAAGCTGCAGCTTATAGAGTGATCTATTAGATCCTAAATCCAGACATGCTGAAAACGTTGAATGGAATTTCAAACTATTCAAACTCTAACCTAGAATTTGATGGACATGGCCAGTTTCTTAGCTTAAAAAACACACTAAATTTGAACTGCCTTTAAAACTCTGCCCCCTGAAGAACAAAGCTGGCGGCATCAGGCTCCCTGACGTCAAACTATATTACAAAGCTGTAGTACTCAAAACAATGTGGTATTGGCATAAAGACACATAAATTAACGGGACAAAATTAGAAAGCCCCAAACAATCCCATGGACCCAGGAGCCTGGCAGGCTACAGTCCATGGAGTCGCAAGAGTCAGACACAACTTAGCAACTAAACCACCACCACCACATAAAGTCCATCAACTCAATAACAGGTGAGCCAAGAATATACAACGGGGAAAGGACATCCTCTTCAATAAATAATGCTGGGAAAACTGAACAGCCACATGCAGAAGAATGATGCTAGACCACTGTCTTAACTATACACAAATAGTTAACTCAGAATGGGTTAAGACTTGTAAGACCTGGAATCATAAAACTAGAAGAAAAAGGCAGTGAACTCACTGACATCAGTCTTGGCAATGATTTTTTTTCCTTTTTGGATTTGACCCCAAAAGCACAAGTGAGACTAAATCAAACCGAAAAGCTTTTGCACAGCAAAGAAAACCATCAACAAAATGAAAAGGCAACCACTGAATGGGGGAAAATATTTGCAAATTAGACATCTGATAAGGAGTTAATATCCAAAGTACACAGCACTTATACAACTCAGCAGCAAACGATCTGGTTATAAAATAGGCAGAGGAACTGAATAGATAATTTTTTCCCAAAGAAGATACTGGGGGTCAACAGTACATGAAAAGGTGCTCAACATCACTAATAACCAAGGAAATGCAAGTCAAAACCACAATGAGATATAACTGTTTGATTGCTACCAAAAAGTAAGTTCTGGTGAATATGTAGAGAAAAGGGAACCTTGGTGCACTGTTGGTGGGGATGCAGCCACTATGGAGGTTCCTCAAGAAATTAAAAACAGGACTACCATATGACCCAGCAATTTCACTTCTGGTTATTTATCTGAAGAAAATGAAAACACTGACTGGAAAAGATTATCTGCACCCTCATGTTCAACCGAAGCAATAGCCAAAATACAGAAACAACCTAAGTGTCCATTGATGGATGAATGGATAGAGAAAACTTGTATATATGTATACACACATTGAAATAATACTCAGCCTAAAAAAAAAAAAAAAGAAATCCTGTCATTCGCACCAACATCATTAACCTTGAGGGCATTATGCTAAGTAAAATAAGAGACAAATATCATCTGATCTCACTTAATGTGTGGAATTTAACACAAAAACCCTTCTCACCCTTCAAAACTGAGCTTGTAGATACAAACTGGTGGTTGTCAGAGATGGGGAATGGAAAAAATGGGTGAAGGGTGGCCAAAAGGTATACACTTTAAGTTATAAGGGCTTCCCTTGTGGCCCAGCTGGTAAAGAATCCGCCTGCAATGTGGGAGACCTGGGTTCGATCTCTGGGTTCGGAAGATCCCCTAGAAAAGGGAACAGCTACCCACTTGAGTATTCTGGCCTGGAGAATTCCATAGACACTGTAGTCCATGAGGTTGCAGAGCCAGACATGACTAAGTGAGTTTCACTTTCACTTATGAAATAGCTCACAGGGGTGTACTGTACAGCATGGTGACTGCAGTTAGTAATAATGCAGTGCACACTGGAAGGTTGCTAAATTCTCATCACAAGGGAAAAGAAACTTCTGACTGTGGTGATGGATCTTAAAGACTGAAACTGGACGGGTCTCTTACCCACCCCTCAGGGTGCTACAGTTGTCTCCCCACTTCCTTTGCTTATAAAACACTCGTAAGAGAGACTACAGCTCAGACTACTTTGATAACCTAGATAAAATCCCAGCCCAAATATCCACAAAAGGTATGCTAGAGTCTGAGATGTCATGGGGAAAGGGAGTGGGGGAACAATACCAACTTTTAAAAACCAAAAGGGATTTGAAGCCTTGCTGAGGTGAGGTAATTGATCTCATGTTGCCATCATGACTGACTGATTCGCTGCACACACTCTTGAGTTCTGAGGAACTCAGTTTACACTGTAGCTTCTGAGACATACACTAGAAACACTAGTTTGGAAGTTCAGTTTTTTTTAACCATCCAAAGCTGTATCCCTAAAGCTGGTACAGAGCTGGGGACACGGTAGGAGCACGACAGGTTTGAATGGCAAATGACATTTGAATGGACAAAGAATGAGCCACATTTAAGGTAAATACCTCTCAATGAAATGTAACTTTAAAATCTGATTTGTCTAGTTTGCTAAGAATATTATCATGGGCCTTTAAGCCTTTTTCTGTGTAATTACCTCTGCTCCATTCTGCTCCTCGGCATATCCTACCGGAAGCATTTGGGATATAAAGTACAAATAAATGCAGTGGGTGGTGCCGAGGTTAACCTTCATTATAATAAAAAGACAAGCCTTTCAGGTCAGCATAGAGCAGAAAAACGTCACATAGTACTCAGACTTTCAGGTAATTTATAGATGATTCTACTACTAAAATCCTTAATG